GGCAAAAAAATCGATGAAGCTGAGCGACTCTGGTGTGACTGGGTATATCGGTTCGGGGGCTAGATTAACATTATAGATGTTCGGGTTTACCTGCGAGCTTTCAATCCGAACCTCCAAGGTGTCACGGTCTAGTATTCGGGCACCGAGATTATGCAACAGGTCGGTAACACCAAGCACGGTCAGGTAATCTGGTGGGAAAGATTCATTTCCGGATTCCTCCCAGGTCGGAAGCAACTCTGGTGAAGAGGAGGGCGGGTTCATGAGATGATAGGGGAAGGCTGCTTCCTTGCCATCGCGCGTCCCCCAGTTGACGCCCGACGCTCGGTACATGTATGGTCTCCCAGGCCCCAGAAGCCAGCGGAAGCCGGCCATATGTTGTTCTTTAGTTCTGTAACGGAAAGTGTTCTTGAATCCTCTGTTGACTTCATCCTGTGGGGAGTGCTTGAGAATGAAGTATCCATAGGAGAGAGTTGTCTCAATAAGTCGGAGCGGGAATCCACCAAGTGCCTGAAGAAGATTTTCGGTCTCCATTGAAGGAAGCCTGAAGGGATCTTGAATGTGCAAAGGAGGGGTCGTCGAGATGTCCCAGCCATTGCCAAAGATCTGAGGTGGAAGAGAGGGGGAGCTGCTCGAGTAGGCGGATGTGGACGGTGAGAAGGATTCGCTGGCTGAGTGGATGGAGAATTGAAACCCGGGGGTACGTTCCACCGAGGACATGTCTGAATCCAAGAGAGTCGAGGGGGTATGGTTGCTGAAAGCTATTAAAGAACTTTCGGTGTGCGTGAGAGTTGTTGGTAGGCTGACGGTAGAAGACGACTCGTCAGGAGGCGCCGGTTCCTCGGCCACTGAAGCCGAGTCGCCTTCATCAATTGCTTTCAGAGGGTTTCCCGTCATGATTGAGTCTTGGTCGATATCCACTACTTCTTTGGCCAATTGGAGGACTTTAGTGATGGACTCGCGAAGGTTGGCCACCAGCCCGGGATGCTGCACAACAATGGACTCTGTCTGCAGCATCTGGTCAAAGACACCCATAAAGACACAACTCATCTCTTCGATGACCTGTTCCAGGCGGCGCAAGCGGTGTTGTTGCGCCAGCTCAGCGACCTGCTTCCTCCTGCGAAATGCATTCTGTGCCTCACGATTCTTCTGCCGCCGTGTCTGCAGGCAAGGTAAGTAGTTGGTCGGCGAGGAATCTCCTATGGGATATCTGATACGTAAGGGCAACATGGAATGGGACGTACCATGGCATTGACCTCGTCGGGGTCAGCAGCATCTGTGGTAGCCTTTCTGCGGGCACCTCGCGGCTTTGGACTTCGTGGTGGGGGGCCCATGGTTGACAAGTCGTAAGCCTGGTACGCGCCAAGGATCCCGGGCTGTAGGCAGTTATGCTTCGGCCAGAACCAATACTTGAAGAAGGAGATCCAGAACTGGACCGGACAGCCGAATTGTGTGGTTGTAAGGTATGTATTATAAATATGACTTGCTCCCGTAGATGGGATCGTCGCCCAGTCCCAGCCAGTTCCAGGAAAACAGGGACAACTAGCCAACAAGAACAGCTTTCCGCCCTGTCCGTGCAGGCAGCTAGCAATTCTACAATCAATCAACGGCTTGATAGGCTATTCAGGTCGCTTTGCCTTGCTTTCCCGGCATGTAGGGAGTCGGTTGGGTAATGAGAGCAGCCACACCTCGCGCCTCGCCTGGAGTTGTCTTGTGCTGGGCCACAAGAAACGCACCATCGGAGCACTTATATAACGGCCCCGAGAGCAGATCTGAGCATTAATCCCGCCCATTCGGCACATGTAATTGGGTGCTCAACAACCCAACAGGTTGACCGAGGCGGAGGCGTTCCATCGTACGGTAATGATGAGGCGTCGTGGCCTCTTCTTCCTGCTGCCACCGAGCGAAAACATTTATCTGCTAGAAGTAATGTAGGTATCACGCTCTCACAAGGCAGGCACAAGTGACAGCAGTACTTGCCTAACTTGTGCAGAGGTAGACGGCTGACAAATTTGTCTCCACACCACATGTCCACCGCAATTTCTCCAACAAACACCATCACCTGGCCTTTGGTTGCGTTCCCTGCTTGAAGCCATTCCCGCCTGTATTTGCCAATGGCCTGGTCCTGGTGCGTCAATCCATCTTATCTTAGGGATTTCCACATGCGGACAATCAAATGGTGGCCATGGCGGGCCGCTTTGCATGCCGTCTTATTTATGGATGGCCCCGTCCCTGTGCCTGGGTAAGATTTGATCTAGGTAGATATGCATGTTCTGCCACTGTCTTCTTTCTGCAAGACATTGAGTGCTCGCTCGCAACTCGTATTTAATAGGTAATTGCCGTTTCTTCGGCTATCATCCTTAAACTGGTTACTTTCTTTTCTATTTTCCCCATTTGGGACAGTATCAGAAGGACAGCCCCTTTCATCGGGTCTGATATGCTATATACTAGGGGCATTCCAGATCTGCTGATCTGGACATTCATCCCGTCTGACCTGACCCCAGATGTGAATGCACGTCATGGTTGCTCACTTGAATTTCCCTCCCAAGTAGGCATGTCACCTCAAATTGAGTTTACTGGCACTTAGCGCATCATCTGCATCTTTCATGTATGGCTCCTATATCCTAACTATAGTAAACGGCTGACCACACACCCCTGCCCGCTACTATGTACAGCACTGAAATGCTGTTACATTCTATTTATCCATGATCCATTCTCACGGGTCCTTTCCATCTCAGACAAGGCTGAGACAGAACAATGAGTACATTGTATGCAAGGGCAATGAGCTGAATAAGTCACAAAACGCACTCCATTGTTTTGATTCATCAGTCAGGATAGAATGGAGCCCGCCTGACTTCAAAACATCAATGTCTTGGGCAGATTCGGTCCTTTGCATCATCACAGTGTGCTATACATTTTATCATGCTTGGCAGTCACGGGAATCAGATAAAGATCGACTTGCCTCCAGCGTTCAAGTTCCCCATCAATATCCTATCGTCCGATTCAAAGATCCGTATGGGGAAAATCATAGGTTGCCTTGAGCAATCTGAGAGCATCACAACACCCTATACTGGTCATTTGGCATACTCAAATGCATGTTTAGAGCGCAAAAAAGGCAGGTGTCTGCTTCAAGACACTGGTTCTTATTGAATTTCTTACGTTTACCGCCCCAGATTTTACATAACTGAGGTCTGCCCTCGAAGCCACGGGGATCATGATGAAAATGAGCTTCTACTATATAAGGAGAAGGAAAGAGATTGCCATGCATATGTTACCCTACCAAGTTGTCTCCAGATAGTTCTCTCTTTTATGGTCTGTATCGAAGACATCTAGCTTTGAAATATTCTTAACGCATATCAATATGCGGTTTCTCTCATTTACTCTTGGCCTTCTAGGGTCTGCCATCACTGCCTCGGCAACGATGATCCCAAATACCAGTGTCTTCCGTGATGACGGCTTCACCGCGGTGAACCCCGGAAGCTTCAAGGACCTGGTTGTCACCGATCGGAACACACTGAATGGCACTCGCACGGGAGATGCTCTCGTTGTACCCTTGGCACGGGAAAAAATTGCCGCCGCCACACTCCCTCTACAGTTCGTCAACAATTTTGGCAGTGCCGTCAACGCGTACATCTCAGGATTGGACTCCAAGGGGGCTGTTGTATTTGTTGCTGCGGATGGTAGCTTGATCTATCCCAGCTCTGGTGGTTCCGGCGTCCCTGTGAAAATCACCCAGAACATCAAGATCCCAGTCGCCGCAGGCAAGACGCTCAGCATGACCCTTCCCATTTCCCTCACATCTGGTAGAATCTACTACTCTGTTGGCGAGCTTTACTTTGGCATCGTCAGCACTGGTAACGGCGATGGCCTTGTTCAGCCAGCGCCGAACAACCCCTCGGACCCCAGTGCTGCTATCAACTGGGGCTTTGTTGAACTGACCCTGACCAGTGCCGGGGTACTCTATGCCAACATTAGCTATGTTGACTTCCTAGGGCTGCCCTTGGGTATGAAACTTACTGTCAACGGAGGCAGCACTCAGACAGCTTATGGAGTTGCCGCCGGTGCCGTCACCAGTGTCTGCAACGACCTGGCGACCCAGAAAGCCAAGGACGGCCGCCCATGGACCGCTCTGTGCCAGGCCAACTCAAAGGGGCCCGTCCGTGTTCTCTCCCCCACTCTCTACACCGACCTCGACTCCTCAAGCTTCCAGACATACTGGGACTCGTACATTAGCCAGGTCTGGTCCAAGTACACTTCCACCAACCTCGTCATCGACACCCAGAACTCGGCTGGCAAGGTCAACTGCAGGGTCTCCGGCAGCACCCTGACGTGCGCCGGCGACAACCGCGGCTACAGCAAGCCCACCGCCCGGGACATCTGGGGCTGCAACAGCGGGCCCTTCGGCAAGCAGGCGGGCGATAACGACGTCCACCTCGCCGTCATCCCACGCCTCTGCGCCGCCTTTGTCCGGTCGACCCTGCTGCTCTCGGGCGGCAACGTCCAGCCCAGCCTTGGGCAGGCCAACTACTACAAGACGAGCCCGACAAACCACTACAGCCGCGTTGTGCACACAAAGGAGGTTGATGGGAAGGGATATGCTTTTGCCTATGATGATGTTAACCCCACTGGTACTGAGAATGCGTCGGGGACTGTCTCTCATGGCAGTCCCAAGACCCTGACTGTGTATATTGGCAGCCCTCCCTGAGTTTAGATGGAGTGGAAGTTGGGGATGGGGGCTGGTTTGATACTAGAAGTAATTGGTTTGTATATAGGCAATTGGAGGACGTTTATGTTCATATGTAGGTAGCCAAGTATATATCAAGTTTTGTGGAGAGATCTCTAGCTATTTTTCGGTAACATTGAGATGTAAAAGTCTATCAGGGGGAAAGAAAACGACTTAGCTCTAGACTAAGACGTTGGAAATCCAGCTACGAGTTGTGCTCGTAAGTTTACGAAGCTCGACAGCAATAACCACGGCCTAGCTTTTTAAACCTTTTGGGGCATTACTCCTTCTGTGAGATTTTCACATTGCACATTCTCAGCATTTTCTTCAGCAACTGCGCGTACTCGTCATTCTCATCCCCAGCCTTGTGTTTTGGGAAATGTTTTTGCTGAGCAACTCTATCAATTTGTCACCAGGTTAATCTCTTATATCTGAAACTCTTGGGTAACGGGGTAGTTCCAGAGGACTTACAGGTTCAGGCGCCACTCCTCGAGCTTCCAGGCCGTTTCCTCGCCATTGAATTCTTCGTCGAGTTGCTTCTGCGACTTGAGCGTTACTTCAGCCCACACGAAGTCATCATCTACCGGTTACATATGGTCAGTTTTACGAAGCCCAATGACAAGACAGAGGAGGGTAATTACAAGAGCTCTCAGCTTCATCCTCGTCGTCTGCCACCTCATCATCGTCCACCTCTTCCTCTTCTTCTTCGTCTTCTTCCTCTTCCTCTTCCTCTTCCTCGTCGTTCTCATCCTCCTCGTCTTTGACCTTGGTCAATTGGTCCCCCTTGAGGTGTGGCAAGAGGCTTGGAGCCTCATTTTTCACCCATTGCCCCTTGCTAATCGCAGCAGAGAAGTCCAGCACCCATTCGCTGTCAACACAGTGATCGTCGATTGTAATGTACCAAGTATTCAACCCTGTGTCTATCCTCTCCGGGCCATAGCCATTGTGGGGATCTGGCTGGATAATGTGGTACATGCTGTTCTTGATGTAATTTTGGACTTTTATTCTCCTGGATTTTTTACTCCTCTACGAAGTTTTTTCACGCAATGGCAATTAAATACGAAATATTACTGCCAGAGCCCCTCACCGTTGGTTGTGGGCTGTTAGTTGTCGGTTGTTGGTTGTTGTATGAGACCCGGCCAATAAGAGCACAGGCTGTGGGTAGCAGGGAATATGAGCTTAGGCGGGCAACTCTGCTATCCGCATTTTCTGGATATGCGCATATCGAGGGATTGCTCGATTGCGCCAAGGCAAGGTAGCGACCTTGATGGTTACAGGATACTTCCACTAGGTACCACCAAAATGTGGGGTGGAGGGGCATTGCTGACCTCCCCGAGAGATAATACCATTGAGGGAGGCATTGGGGATCCAATAGCGCCATGGCGAGGTCACTGCTGGCGATGGGTGGGTGGGCTGCGGATGGCTGGCGAGCACCAGGGCCAGAGAGAGAGATATGGAGATGGAGGGCTGCATGGCGACCGGAAGCCCACCGATTGACCTTCTGGTTCGGCAGGTGCATCTGTGGTGCCATACAGTACCTATCGTGCTGGCAGCCGAATGCTACCTCGTACGTGCCGTCGAAGGATCAGAGCCCGTTCGCTCATTTCCTGCAAGGCCAGCATCATCACAACATGAAGGGCCAGCAGGTTATGGGCGATCAATGCAGCCCCAGGGCAGGGCGTCAGGCGTCTCGCCCGCCCTCCTGATCCACACAGTGATGCCTTTCGCTACTCCATTTCGGGGTCTCCAGGGTCACACTTCGTTCTCAGGTGGGAGCAGACCATCCGCCCCGCCCTCCATCGTCATCGCTCGCAGGTAGTGGACTGAAGTGTTTTGCCCTGCGCAAGCCTCGCCCTTTCGCCCTTGCGATGCTCACAGCCATGATCCGGGCGAAACCGACCCGGCTCCATCCCTTCGGTCGCCTTGCGTCGTGCCACTCCGGAAAGCCTTATGCACAAGCTGCTGTTCTCGGAAAGCACTGTCGGTTCTGGTGCCACTCTGAGTTCGCTCACATTCCAGGCTTGCGACACAGTGTGGCACCGGGCGACTCTCCTTTCAGCAAACTCGGAGACCCTGGCAACGGTCTCCAGAATCCTTCGGCAGCGAGTCCATGCCAGGGTGCTCACAGCATCTAGACCTCCGAGTCCCGCGGGAAGTGAAACGGTCCTGCCTGCATGTAATCCCTACCTTACCCTATGGCTCACGGCGGTCCCCAGCCCACCCGAGAGTTTCCCGCCTTCAGCCCCTCGGGACGATAGGTTGAAAACCATCAGTACTAAACGGGTGGGCAGATAGTCGCTACTGTTGGCAGGGAAATCTATTCTGGGCAGCCGACGTGGTCTTGTCTGCTCATCACTTCGTCGTGACCTGCACCTAAGCAACCATCAGGGAGACCTCCCATCCAATACATCCCCAATATGTGCCATTGATGTACCGCTGCTTACGCACTGTGCCACATTGTCCTTCTAGTTGTTGAGTCCTTGTTCTCCACACGAGATAGAGGGCGGGTCTCACCGCTTATTGCCCGATCTAGTGCTCTTCCGGTCGTGCCCAATGCCATTCATCGTTGGCTGTGCTGACGCTGGGTACACCCAACCACTTATCATGCAGTTTTCATGCACTGTGCTTATCTACTGATGATCTGCCCGAGCTTGGACTGTAACATCATGGGGATGCACTACAGTTGCCAAAGATAATCTATAGGTTCCACGAAGGCGAAGTATCTTGGAGATCGGGGTATTTTGCCACTGGCGATCGGCATTCGGTACGGATGTACAGACATTACATTCCACTACACGCATTCTTTGTGACCCTATAGCCATGCTTATCAGCGGCACGGATGCGTTGCATGGGTACAGGTATGGTGAGTTTGGCTGTCCAACCACCAAAGGGACTATGTAGACTTGAGCGGCAAAGTATCGATGCATTTCCCTTAAACCAATAAACCAATGAGGGACCGTAGTATTCCTTGGATACGTCACCTGAACGATTTAAATGACTTCCCTGACGCTTATTGTCTTCGGAGTTGTCGAGAAGTTCCATCAGTTCTGGAGCAATGAGGTCGCTGGGCAGGGCGACGTTGAGGTATGCATCAGTACGGAGTTTCCGGTTCTCATATCATATTGGCTATGTAACATGAATGATTCATACTATGGTTCCGAGTCTCAACCAACGTAAAATGAACTTTAGTCTGATGATAGTTGAGCAGTTCATTCTCAAGTTCATGAGTTGGGGGAACGATGAAGGGAAACCTGTACCCTGGCTAACCGCCAAATGATGCCTATGCAGAATCCTTTCGATTTTGTACTGGTTATTACGAACTACAAGTATTTGGAGGATCCTATGCTGAATCGTCACATTATGAGATGGGGACATTACTGTGCTCTGGATGTTGGCCTGAACTATCTGACTTTTGATCATTCGTCGTCGCAAAAGAACCCAGATGGTGTCTGGGAGCAGACGCAATCTTTGACCAATGGTGAGAAATCGTAGCGCGAGATCTGGCCAATTGCTAAGCATCTGTATCCCCAGATAATGATTGAGATTGCGTGGTATTTTAGTTACTAAAATTAAAATCGAGTACCCGGAATTAACTTAATTCTTTTATTTTTTTCTGGGTACTGTACCTCGAAAAATCAGGTGGCTGTGCCCTGCCGAAAAGCGAAGGAACCGCGCGAAGTCTTCTAGAAGGGGGGGTTGGGCAGTCGTTTTCACCAGCTCGCCCGTGACGTTGCCAGGCAGAGAGATCGGCGGGCTGAGACCAGGATTGTAGCGAGCCGGCCTACAGTAGCGACGCTTTGACTCTCATAAAATTACCGTACTTTGGCTCAGTGGTCAGACGTTTCGTTGGCGGTGCCCGAGGCTGAGGGTTGCCCGTGATGATGAACGGCGTGACGTAGATTGAGGGCCGTTGGATGATTGCTCTGTTGCCCTTTTGGGGGGGTATCGCGCGAAGACCTCAAGATGCGAATCTTTTAAATATCTCTTGTTTCTTTGAGATGGAAGATGTGGAAGCAATGAGAATTAATATCCTACGTTCATCAATCCATCAATCCATTAATTCAATTTGACATTTGCGCAAGTAAAGCCGCGGCCGATCCACTACACACTGCTTTCCCTCAACGCGCATTTGAAAGAGATTTTTCCAAACAAAAAACCACAATGTGTATTCGCACACTCTGCTGCTGCCTCTGCCGAAGGCACAAGAAGAAGAAGCAGGCCGAGAAAGAGAAGGCCATGCGTCAACAATACGGCCCGCGGCCTGTCCAGCCCGGCACGGGATATCACCAAAACTACTACTACCAAAATGGGTACTACTCCCAGGGGCAGTCGGCGCCCTACAAGAGCAGCTACAATAGTCGGAACAAGAAGAAGAACAAGAAGATGAAGCAAAAATACTACGACGATCGGTACAACGTGGACTATAGCGGAGGCGGTGATGGCGGTTGTGGGTGTTCCGGAGGAGACGGAGGAGGTGACGGGGGTGGAGATGGTGGTGGTGGAGGAGGAGGAGACGGCGGCGGCGGTGGAGGAGCCGTGTAACGGTCGTTTGATTTACCTTTGTTATAGACTACGAGCAGCGATATAGAATTTGATTCCCTTGTGTGTTGATATCCATTTGTCTGTATTAGTGATTATGTGGTTGCATTTCGACCCCAGCCTTAGTGAACTCCACGCCATCGCTGCGATGTCGGTGCATTAGCTTGGAGATATGCACCTGTGGCTGGAATGGAGTCCCGAGGCCCCCGGCCCGAGAGAAGCGGGCGGAATATTAGTGCGTTGCGGCAACATCCTTTGCCTGGCTCGTCCTGAATCGCGACAGGGACTTACAGGAGGACATCGGCCATGACTGTGTACAGTTTCCGTTTTCAGATAGGCGCAAGCAGGTCCCTGGGAACCGTGGCCACGCTCGCCACGGCCTGCTGCCTCTCTGTCTACTGTCTATATGTCCGGCCTGCGCTCCGGCATGAGAATAAGACTACGGCTACCATCCTAGCCAAGACCCGGCGGAGGAGCTTGGTGGCAAGGAGACAGGAGCTGGAGCCGGAGCCGTACCCCCAGGATGTGTTCCCGGGAGGGCGAGAGGTTGAGACGCCATATGGAACCATCCAAGTGTTTGAATGGGGGCCGGAGAACGGCGAAAAGGTAGCCGTTGTACATGGGATTGGTACACCTTGTATTGCTCTGGGTGACATGGCCAAGCAATTCGTTGCAAAAGGATGCAGGGTCCTCCTCTTCGGTGAGCTTCTCTGAACGAACTTGCCCAAGCAGCATTTTTTTCTAACCTTCCCCTTGGATAGACTTGTTCGGAAGAGGTTACTCGGACGCTCCCGGGGATCTCCCATATGATGACCGTCTGTACACATCCCAGATCCTCCTCGCCCTGGCATCATCCCCCCTCTCATGGACCGGAACAGAGAGTTTCCATCTCGTGGGCTACTCCCTCGGCGCCGCCCTGTCCGCCGCCTTCGCCGCCTACTTCCCCCACATGTTGCGGTCCGCCACCCTCGTCTGCCCGGGCGGGCTGATTCGCCCCTCCCACGTCGGCTGGAAGAGCAAGCTCATATACTCGGAGCGCCTGCTGCCTGTGTGGTTGTCTCATTATCTTGCCCGGTGGAGGTTGGAGCCGCGCCACCACGGACCGAGCGCTGATGTACCTGTGGATGTGGAAAATGATGCGGATATAGATTTTGACGAGGTGCCGCTCTCGCAGGCTCGAGGCGGGAGCGGTGCCAGGGTCGGAGATGTCATGCGGTGGCAGATGGAGAGGAACGACGCGTTCGTGGGCGCATATATAAGCACGTTGAATAACGCCCCCATCTATGGCCACCACGAGGGGGTGTGGAAGCGTCTGGCTGAACGGTTAGCCGAGAGAAGGGCAGAAACAGGTTGCCCAAGCGGCTTGCCGGGTGGCAGGGTGTGTTTGGTCCTCGCCACCAGGGATCCAGTCGTCGTCATGGACGAGTGGCTCGAGGATTCTCGGAAAGTCTTGGGAGAAGAGGGCGTTGACATTCAAATCCTGCCTGGGGGGCATGAAATCGCTATCACCAAGGGCAAGGAGGTTGCGGACGTTGCGATGAGATCGTGGCCTCAGTGACGGTTGAGTTGCGCACCGCCGTTCACTGTAGTTTGAAGAATAGGTATAATTTAGATTTGAGATGAATGAATAATGCATGTTATTTTGTTAATTGGCAATTGCACACTGAAAATATCGCCATGAATTCCCAACGCCTAGATGATGAATCTATGCAACACCGAACAGACCCCACGTGACTCATAAATATGTATATGCCCCGGTATGATGATGCAGGAATCAAGGAAATAAATGGAAAAAAAAACAATGCCAGAACATATCAGAAGGGGGACGTTTCGCCGCCCTATCATTTGTCCAGGCCACGAGCCTTGACAAACCGATTAATTTGCTCCTTAGTCAACTTATCTTGATAATGTTCATGGCATTCGTAGAAGGATATGATCTCTTGCGTGGCGTCCACCATGGCTGTGATGTCTACCCGGCTATCCGACAACCAGGAGGCGAACTGCTGCAACCGAGAGATCCGCGTGTCCTGAGGCTTATCCTTAATAACCTCAGAACTGGCAGGAATAGAACCAGCGGAGCCGGCAGCAAAGTTGACTCGGGCTTGCGCTTGGCTGAGCGCGGCCTGGGCAGCTGCCAACCCTACGGCAGCACCATTATTCTGTCCGGGCATGCCTGGGCTGGGACGCAGCACCAGTGCCAGGAGGATTGCGACGAGACCAATAATGTGTGGACTTGTTGTAAGGGGCAGGTCCGTCATGTAGGAGTCGTTAATGACAGACTTCGCCAGCGTCGCATCTTCATCTGTCATGGACAACTCGCTCCTGAGAGATGTCAGGGTTCGATATGGCTGGTGGATGAGTAGCTGGGAGCTCATTTCGCTGATAAGAAAGAACTCGCACTCGCCGACCTTGGAGGTGTCCAGACTGATGAATTCAGACCATAATGCTCGCGCCTCGGTGACAATCATTCGGATGTGTTGCGGAGCTTCTTCCATCTTACAGGCAAGGTAGACGGCTGTCGTGACAACGAGGTATGGGTTTGTCCGGCGGATCTCGACCTTGGAGTAAAAACGCTTGAGGTAGACTTGAGCAGTTGCGATACATTGTTGCCGGACCGATATCTTCTTGCTGAGCTTGATAATCTCTATCCTCGAGGGGTCAATTGTTTGGATGAGTGAAATGGGACGGGATACAGGACGTACGTTGATTGAAGTAGATATAGAGATGCCTGATCTGGGGCAAGGGGAACATGCGAACGAGCTCGGCATTTTCCTCCTCAAGTTTCTGGCGAGTCGAGTCCAGCTGCTCCTTGGTGAATTGCCAGTGACGCCTCTGAGTTGATTCCCAATAGTTGGCCGACATGGCTGCTTAGCGCATCAGGCACAAGCCCAGCACGGGGGCGTTGGAGAGAGCGATGCGATGTCTGGACATGAAGTCGACGAGTCGGCTAGGAGCGTGCGGCAGGGCTGGAAAATCCTACATCGGTGGATGCAGGCGTTTCCCAGTTGCAAAGGCGGGCTGGAGGCCGGAGACGAGCGGGCGACCTGCGCTCGGCGTGGTTCAATGTCGCTTTTCGCAGATGCAGATGCGTGCGCATTCTGGAGGCGACGGAGGTTGAGGCGGGTAGCTGTGGCATAACATTCCAGCCCTTTTCCGCTGTGGCTGAGGCAGATCTGGGTAAATCCCAGAAGGGGCAAAGCTGCGGGGGCTGATAGAGCAGGGGACGGGTGATTGCCTATCAGCGGGCTCTGATTGCTCTGGAATCGGCAGCCACAGCCGCTAACAAACTTCATCCAGGTGCCACACTTCACTGAACTGCCCGGCCTTGGCCTCGGTCAAGTTACGACATTGCACATCATCAAGCTCTGAGCTGCCCCCCTCTCCTCCAACATCCCAAAATCTCGCGAAGCAAACGAAGCAGAACCAAGGAACCCCCCGAAACACGAATCGAAGCCCCGGCGACCCGACAAACAGTACTTCGACCCATGTCGACGATGTTACAACAATAGCTCTAGCTCTCGCCGACTCTTCCGTCCCGTCCACCAGCAGCTACGGCACCCTCGAGAAATGCGAAAGCTATGAGCCCAACCAATGTGGTCTCCCAACTGGGCCGTGGCCTAGAGGAGTCGCAGAATCAGCGGGATGCTCGAATTGAGGAGCTGTGGTTCCGGCTCGACCCTGGAAGGACCGGCGAGCTGGATTTCAAGGCTCTTCAGAAGGGCTTCCGCAAGATTGATCATCGTACGGCGCCCTCCCTTCCACCCCCAAAGGTATCGGTATCTGGGTACAGAAAGCTAAAATGCGAACCGCCATGTAGCACTGAAAAATGCAGACCAGATGCTGAAGAAGATTCTGGCTGAGGTTGATACCAATGGAGATGGGAGAATCCAGTACGAAGGTTTGTGTCACCCTCACCCGTCGCACAACGATGTCTTCGTCTTGGAACGAATGGTTTCTAACACTAAGCCATCTCGATAGAATTTCGTACATTTGTCGATCGCGCCGATCGTCAATTGTACAAGCTCTTCAGATCGATTGATAAAGACGGCAATGGGAAGTTGGACGAAAAGGAGCTGCAGACAGCTTTTCGCAGCGCGGGGCTCACAGTCTCGAATCGCCGCCTGGCCGAATTCTTTAAGCACATGGACGACAACGATGATGGGTTTGTCTCATTTGACGAATGGCGGTAAGTCCATTTCTATCTTTTTACCAGTCTGTTTCATTTTTTCCCTGGGCTCTTCATTTTCGCGGTCGCACAGTCAGCTGTGACGTATGTGCGTACACAAGGGACATGGGTTGGAGATCGCGATATCGTGTGCCACGAGATCTCCAACCTGGAGCATGATGCAGCCTGATGACATTCAGCCTACGAGAACTTGATTGTCCATCATCGAATTCACTCAATATCAAGTGTCGAACCTCAGCTGACGCGGGGCTACTAGGAACTTCTTACTGTTCATGCCGGCGCAAGAGCATGACTCCCACCTTGATGCCATGCTTTCTTTCTATAACTCGGTGACATTTGTTACACCTGAAGGTGACTCTGTGGTGAGCGAGGAGACGCTAGAAGGCTTAGGTACGGCAGGTCCTCCATGTTCCTCGCGCTCTCTCCTTCATTCTATTCTTGGCTCCATTCTTCGCGTTGCTTTCCCCGGTGGACACACGCCGAGCCCACAGGAGCCAGCTTCAAGACCCGCAGCAACAGCTGTAGCAAACTCAGAGTTGGCTGCATCATCCTTGCCAGGGAATGAGACGAAGGCTATTGATGGGAGAAGACACGTCGCACCTGGCGTTGGTGCCGCCCCAGTCGGGCAGAAGCAGCACGAGCGGGAGGCAGTGGGAGAGCACATCATCAGCGATGACACCCAGGCCACTCATCAAGAGTCATCATCCACTGCCTCAGCTGTCAAAACTAGGAGCAAGTTTAAACTGACAGAGTTTGTCCCCGATCCAGGTTACTTCCTTGCGGGTGCGGTCGCCGGTGGCGTTTCTCGCACAGCCACTGCTCCTCTCGACCGACTCAAGGTATATCTCCTTGTGAATACTGGGACCGGGACCGCCAATGCTGCCCAAGCCATCAAGGGAGCCAGTGTCGCATCAGGCCGACCACTTGGTGTAGTGAAGAATGCGCTTCGACCCATTGGTGATGCTGTCCGCGACCTATTCCGCTCGGGGGGGATCAAAGGTTTCTTCGCAGGTGAGTGATGAGTGAATACTCAATGATTTTCATTACGTCCGAGAAACAGATCTGACCGCTTCGTGTATTAGGAAATGGATTGAACGTTATTAAGATCATGCCCGAAACCGCTATCAAGTTTGGCTCCTATGAGGCAGCCAAGCGCACGCTGGCCAACCTCGAGGGCCATGGCGACCCTAAGAAACTAAGCTCACTTTCCAAGTTTAGTGCTGGGGGAATGGCCGGGATGATTGCGCAGTACGTCTAAATCCAAGTATGATTCAAGCCTTCATTTGTACCTAGACTGACCGTCAACAGGTTCTGCGTTTACCCGTTGGATACCCTGAAATTTCGCCTGCAGTGCGAAACCGTCAAGGATGGTCTCACCGGCAGCGCATTAGTGCGGCAAACAGCATACAAGATGTATAGGGATGGCGGCCTTCGTGTGTGCTACCGGGGCGTGACCATGGGCCTTGTTGGCATGTTCCCATATAGTGCTATCGACATGGGAATGTTCGAGTTCCTGAAGAACACATACCGCACCACTTATGCGAAATACACAGGATGTCACGAGGATGATGCGGCACCTGGAAATATCGCCATGGGCATGATAGGCGCGACTTCAGGAGCCATCGGCGCCTCACTTGTGTATCCACTCAACGTGGTTCGGACACGACTGCAGACTCAGGGGACTGCGATGCACTCAGCAACATATACAGGCATATGGGATGTGACTCGGAAGACAATTCAGCGTGAAGGCTACCGTGGGCTGTACAAGGGCCTGACACCAAACCTTCTCAAGGTTGCGCCGGCGCTGAGCATAACCTGGGTTGTGTATGAGAATACGAAAAAGGCTCTTGGACTGAGCTAAACCAACCAGCATCTCTAGGATACACAATGCATGATAGAGGAAGGATATACCATGGTGAGCTGCCGAAAGACTACGGCACACCGTTAGAGGACCGTTAGACGAAGGAACAGGATGCAGATTCGCCTGCTGTCAAAGTTCCGACGGGGTCATATGTGATTTTACTTTTTAGCGAATTGATCGTCGATCGGTCATTGGGAATATAGTCTTCGGAACTCAAAGCATCTACCTACTTATATAGATGTGAAAATACATACCAGGGAGGAGTGGGGGATTAGATGTAATTGTACTGGAATAGAAAGGTCATGACACGGGCAGCCGAGCAAAGTCAGAAGAAGACTGACACTGGTGATGACTGGTGATGACTGTTGCTGTGATGACTGTCTAGAGTAGCAGGTCTCAAGAATCCAATCCTTCGTAGGGCTGCGATGACTCACTGGACGCTTCTTTACGCTCTGGACATGTGACATGACGTGCAGATAATCGCTCCGATGCACTCTCGCTGGGGCCAAGTCGTCATCTATAGTGCATATGAGGGCACAGAGTCATCATGGCGCTGACGACGACGGGTACCCTCTCCATGAAAATCCCCGCCGTGCTTGTTCTGCATCTCCAGAACGTTATTCCCTGCCACATTCCCTGTTGGGGAAGAGGTCGGGCATCATCCTGGCATAGCGCCATCGTCTGCGCCGTTGCCAAACCGTTTTCGGGGTCCGTTTCTCGGTTCCTCACTCTGGTTCATTACTGGAAGCTAATGCTTGCTGGCCGTTGCGCAACGATCGCTCTCCAGGCACTTTTGTCGCCCACCTTTCAGGCCATTTCATGCTGTAATCGGCATGGGTGCTTTTATCTTCCAGAACGGACGAGGGTCTGTCCCACATGGTTGGTCAACCGCCGCCAACGTCCCTCCCCTCCCCCTCACTCCATCCCACCCTTGGCTTCCTGGAGCACCCAGACCGCAACCCATTGACGACGCCTCGAGGCCATGCAACCTGGAAGGCTGAACCGACAGGGTTCGGTCACCGAAGTGATGCATGCGCAGGTGCGGGGCGATAGCGACAACGTCCGATAAACGAACGGAGGATCCAGCCTGACGACTTTTCCTCCACCACATGCCGCAGTCGTCCTTTTTCCTCTCCTCCTCCTCCTCTCTTGCTGTAGTTTTGCTCGACTGCCTTTCTGCTTGCTCGCTGTGCTCTATTTCAGGTTAATTGATCCTGTGGCTTTCACGTTGAGGACAGAAGAGGTGTCTCAGAGTAACTGGGTCTCGTGAACGGACTCCCCCGGACTATAGTCCTCGTTGGTTTATTGAGTCTTGGACGCGGTAGTAGACCCTCTTCGGGACCACAACCCGGGGCTCTCTGTTCGAGATACCCAATCTGAGGAACACTTGGCCTGGATCCCATAGATTCGGGACCAATCAGACGACGACGGGTACAGGTGGCGGACGCACATACGGTCAACAGCGTCGAGTGCCACAATAATGCCTGTGCCATACTCGGACAACCTCTACTCGGCAGATGATGACTTGAGTGACGCGGACAACAACCATACTGAGCTCTCTCCTACCGATGGCTACTTCCACGCGTCCTCGCCGTTTGATGTAGCGTCACTGCCTCAGCCGGCCACCTCAGATTACCAGCCGGGGCACCTCAATGTCCCCATAGTCCCTAATGTCATGGTCGAGGATCCCACTCTGCGTGAGCAGGACCCGGACGCCAAAGCACGTGAGGCAGCAGAAGAACGCAGGTTAAATCCGTCCGCCTCTCACCAGAGCTCTCCCCATGCGGCGCCCGCCCCATCCTCCTCTCAGCCGTCCAGAGGATATCCCTCCTTGCCAAGTCATCGCCACAGACAATCTGAAGAAGAGCAGTATAATACTCCGACCCCGGGAAGTGGGAATATATACTCCGCCTCGTCCGCATCACACTCTAGACCTCAATCTCATACTCCTCTGATCCACCACGGCGAAGCCCCTCCAGCATACTCGCCGTCCAGCCCGACATCGCCACATACAGCCGGTGGATATCAAACGTTTGGACCAGCATTCCAGCCTGCCGATACAATGGGTAATCCAGCAGAAGAGCACGCTTCCCTCCTCCACCGTGACCCAGAGTCCATGGGAGGACCACCCGCGGGTAGCTGGCGACAGCCCTGGTGGTCGAGGGCGAGAGAGGCATGGAGACGTAGACAACACAGAGATCTACGGAAAGTGATTACGGGACTTCTTGGATTTCTCGTCATACTGGCCATTCTTCTTCTTGTGTTAAGTGCGGTTGACTCTGGCAATCAAGTAAGCGCCAGTCATTCTTATATCTTAACCCTTCATTCCTTAAGGCTCAATGCTAATGAATTAACTTTCCACATAGAGAAGACCTGGTATAGATCCCTCCAAGCCCGGTGACGATAATGTCAAGCCGCCTATAGACGACGATTTGAGATGGCAGCCAACCAAGGAGTGTTACAATAAGCCGTACCGCTTTGTTTCCTTTGGCACCCAGTTCGAGTTCGACCCGACTCAGAAGCTGGTGATTATCGAGAGATCGGAAGACAGGGATTATGAAGGGCCTGACGGCTGGTCGCCCCATGTGACTGGGGAGGTTGTGATCAAGCCCATCGAGTTCCCTTACAAGGGCGAGGTGGACATCGAAGTCCTGACAAACCATCATGGTCTCCCCATTTCCGCCGACGCCGAGCGAAACAGCGGCAGGGTGGAATTGGTGACCCCAAGGAGGGTCAAGCGAGATGGCTTGGACCGTCCGCCTTGTATCCAGATCCGGATCACCATCAGGGTACCGGGCGGCTCGTCTGTCGCGGCAGCAGATGTTGCCCTTACACATCTGGACTTGAACATCCTCGAGGGGCTGAAGCTGAATGTTGCTGAAGACACGCGACTCACGACGACAGTGGGGAACATCAGAACGCCTACAACCGAGGAGAAGGACGAGTTGACAAACCCATCGTACCAGCTCAACTCCCGCGAAATATACGTTAGCACCATGAGCGGCAACATCGATGGATCGTATCCCCTATATGACAGGCTCAAGGTCGAGAGCGTGTCTGGCGATGTTTCCATCAAGGTCGAGCCCAAGCCAATCGACTCTAAGAACCCCAAGCCGGCCGAGCTATCAGTTTCAACCTTGTCGGGCAACCTCAACGTCAAGGAACCGATCAAGGCGGCCCTCGCATCGCCCGACTCCGGGGACTTCCCCTCTCGCGACTACTCAGTGGCCGTCGAGACAAAGTCCGGCGACGTCACTGCTGACCTCGCCTTCACCTCGTACGGCCGCTTCTACTCCATCTCAGGGAACCTCAACGTCGACCTCTGGCCTCTCCTCCACGACGCCCAGCAGTCCACCATCATCGGACCCGAAGTCGCTACCGACACCAAGGGCGGCGACACGACCCTCGACCTCCACGAGCCCCACTGGGCCGCCACCGGATCCGCCGCCAGACTGCCCGTCTACCCATCCTCACCCTCCTGGATAGGCTACCCGCCACTCATCGGCGGACCCTCCAGCGAGGAGGAAGAGGGAGAGTCCGACTCCAACCAAGCCTCCGGCACCCACGCCGCCCGACCCCTGACGCTCTACTCCTCGCACAGCTCCGTCTCCGGCGACATCCACCTGCGCTACCCGTCCGCCTGGGAGGGCTACCTCAAGGCCCAAACCGTGTCGGGCAACCAGCGCTTCCACGGCGAGGGGCTCGAGGTGACCCGCAGGGGGAAGCTGCCCATGGCCATCCTCGAGGGCTACAAGGGCCACGACGGCCACTCCGACCTCCGCGTCGAGAGCATCTCGGGCAACCAGGATTTCGTGGTGGGTGAGAACTGAGAGTCCCCTTTTTCTCCGCGTGTGAGGGGATATATGCTGTCTTATCTTCCGGATGGACAGGCATGAAGGTGTTGAAAGGGATAGGCGGAGAAGAAATGATAAAGGAGAAGTCTTGAAGGGGGGGGGGGGGGGATGACGACGAGAAATGATGAATGATACAAGCTTACAAGCCATACGGCACGCTGGGGAAAAACCAGACCTCATTTTTCTTGACTGGTCTGTGAACCCTAGGCTACGAACAAAAACCGCATAATATTTGGAAAGGGGGGGCTGAGAAGGCGTTTCTTCACTGTTATTAAGTGGTGTTTTTTTCTTGTTTAGTATTTCTTTTTGAAGGCTTTTTTTATAAACAGTAACGTCACGATGAATTGTACATACATACATACATTCGCTTAGTATTCATGCTATATCCCCATCTCAATACAGAAATCCGCCACGAAGTTTGCAAATTGGCCTCCGCAGAAAACAAGAACCGGACCGCTGTCTCGTGTTTGTACCGGGGGTTTTTCCTCGACTCAGTACATCAGGTTCTTCCATCCCATACAAGACCGCCGAAGAGAACAAAAATGCTCAGAGGGTATCCATCCAATCATATCTTAAAAAAAAAGTAAATAAATAAAAAAAAACGGTCATTAGTAGTCATGCATCGTTGGTATATCGCCCCTTGCCGTTCATATACGCACTGACTCCGTCCCTGGATTAGCCTCATGAAGAGCTATCTGGTAAAAAAAATAAGAGAGTAAAAAAAAGGAGAAATACAAGTATCCCAATCTGGAAGTTTTGTTAATTCTCAATGGCCCACGGGAGATCCCTATTTCCGACTTCTGTGCACGTCAGATAAGAGATCTCTGCCGCCTTGCTTGAGCCGCTCAGCTCCAGCTCAAGCCCGCTGTTCATCAGCGGGCGAACAATGTCTCGGGCCATGGACTTGAGCTCTTCTATGCGTTTCTCGAAACGCCGAAGATTGTCTCGAGTGTACATTTCTGGTGTGAGTTTCAGGAACTTCTTGCACTCATCGTGGTTCAAGTATGTGACTGGCTGTGAAGAACCCAAGGTGCGATAGGCACGTCCGATGGATGTAAGGGGAGGGATAGAAGGAGGGAGAGGTGCACGGCCATCTCGCGACGGCCGACGGTCGGGAGGAGGAGGTTGAGGGGCGGTGTTATCTGCAATCCATTGACGGAATAGACTGACGGCGAGCCAGTCCAAATAATTCGTTTGTGGGGTGACTCGCTCGCCCCGTCCTGTTGTGAGGCCGAGACGGAAGAGCCTACCTTCGACTCGGCTTACGGTTTCTTCGAGCTCGTCGACTTTGTCTTCGATAATATCCAGCACCACTTCCGGCAGCGCTGTGCGTAAGCTCCGTTCACCAGCTGGCCATTGGCCGACGACATGGATCAGGGCTTCCTGAAATATGACCTTGCTCTTCGCCAAGTACCCAAGCCGCAAGTATGAGATGGGATATTTAGCTATTTGCCTCCATAACCTTGACTGGAATTGGAGAAGATGGTGGTCGACTCTGGGGCCAACAACCCCAAGCGCGTCGTATTGGTCGGCTAGACTCAGGAGGCTTTTGCACTGAATGTACGCATCGGCTACATTGATGCCGTCTAGGACGGGAGGATAGTTGTACATGGTGCGGAAGAGGTTGTCGTAATCGCGCATGAGATCTTGTTCAGCCTTAGTCACAAGGCCGGATGAGGATGATGAGGAAGAGTTATGGTGGCCGTTCGTGCTAGACCCCAGATTTGCGACCGAGCGGAAAAAGTCTCGGTTTGATGATACTGACGTTGACTGTGAATGGTTTCCCTTTGATCTTGACATGGAGCGGCTCGATGGCCGCATTGTGTCGTCCCCGGGCCCAAATATAGAGGGAACCTTTGTCCTGGGCGCATCTCTCGTTTCGTCTTGCTGCACCAGCATGGGGATATCGTTGTCGTCTTTGCCCATGTCCAGGACATACTTCCACCGCTTCCTTGGCGTGCGCTTGCTATCTCCCCTCTCGGTGTCGCTGTCGATGAGAGAACCGGTCGGGGTGTCGTGCTCTCCTATCCTTGCCAGCTCATTGCCCCCAGCAAGGAGCGGACGTGCCTTGGACCATTGCTCGGAGGTGCTGGCCTCGAAGAAACCGCTGCACCTGGTCAGGGTATGGCGGTGCAGCAGATATCTGTTCTCGACCGAGCCGCCCGTCACCCGAATGACAATCTCCACGTCGCCGCTCTGAGAGAAGACCGGGAACTCATTTTGAGGAATATAGGAGGCGCCGCCGACGTGGGAACGGTTGTATCGTTTCGTGCGTGAAAGGGACGGGCGAGAGACGACGGACGAGGGACCACGGTAGGAGACTGAGCTCGAAGTTTCTGGCTGGGAGACCATTTGGCGCAACAAGTCCGAGGTCCACTACATCAGAAGAAGGAGAGGTGGTTGCGGCAGCGAGATGTCGTGGGCTGGCTCGCGCAATCTAATAGGTGAGTAAAGCGGGCATGAATGATGGATGAGGTGCGTTTGCGGTCTTGCGGATTGGGGGGCAACAACTGGGTTGTGGTGGGGAAAGTAAACAAGGCAGCCTGGTTCGTTCTCGAGTCTGGGACACAGGTGTGGGCAAACTGTATAAATGAGTTATGCAATTGGACGGACACGTCGCGCAGTCAAGGCTATGCGGTGCAGAAGGGTCGAGGCAGCACACGCGCGCACAAGAAGAATATCCAGGAAAGATCAGAGATGGAAGAAAGATCCGGCATCTGGGATGGGCAACGTGAGGGCGTGACGTCCGAAGCTCGGCTGGCCACGGACAAATCACGACCCCAGTGAATGAAGACAAAGGACCTCCATCTCCAACGACCCCTGTCCAGCGCGAGAGATGGCGAGCGTGCGTGCTTGTCCTATGATCTTGCCAGCAGTCTTAGTAGGAGCAGGTAGCCCACACGATAGGTAAGGTAGGTCTGTGCCAATTGTCTCGCAGGGCCTGGCGCCCCTGGGCGGTGCGTGACTGGCCTGGAATAGCAGCCGGGGAATTTTCCGCCTCTGTCATTCTAGACAGCCCGGCTCTACATGCCTTCCATCCTGTTGGTTCTGGCTTCAGGTGCAGCTTGTCAAGCACCGGATTGGTGTGGGATCACCATAGGCGCACTACGGATCGATAGGCTTAAGCTACGCTGGAAATCTGGAAATCTGCCTTGCGAGCCCAAATTTCGCCGCAAGTGCTGTGCAGGTTTTTAGATCCATGGGGACGGGCAGACCCTGGCCAGTGACTGGCCATCACATGTCGGCGGCACCAAGCGACTTGCATGGCGGCAGCGGCAGATTGGTTGGCGGAGAATGAGGGGCGCTGAGACGTTGAGCTCGCCGGGTTCCGCTGTCTCGGGGGCAGGTGACTGGATGTCTAACGTTTGGACCCTTGAAGCCAAGACAAGCGACGAGCCCTGTGATGTTAGAGTGTGTGCATTGCCCTGCCGTCCCCCTTCTGACTCTGAGACGCGCGGGACAAACCGCGCAGGCTCCCGTGGACTGGTGAAACAGGCTTCAACAACAGATGATGGGGAATATTGGCTGTAGATTCGCAACCGGCCAGGGCTGTATGAACGCGGAGAACGCCGGATCTGTGAATCGGAGGTGTTTGGTATCTGGCTGGAGATAACGATTGATAGGTCAGGAGGCACAACGGCGCTGGGTAGGGAGACGGAAAGGATCGTCTCCTTGATGGGGGCTACGATCCTGATGGCTGCTCGTTTTCAAGGACCAGGACTCTGGCTGGTGGCAATTGAATCCATTCGTGAGTAGCCTCGTGCTGCCTGTGGCCCTGAGCCAGGGTCTTGTGGGTGCAGTGGGTGCCTTAGTGGTTGCGTACCCGAGTGCCAGGTGAGTGACACGGAGGCTGAAGCGCCGGATGAAAGTTTTTCGTAACGATGACAATTCAGGTACTATGGGAAAAGGGCAGATTACAAGGAATAAATGCTGGGACAATCACTGCCTATCTTTCTTTATTGGCCATATGCCATATGCCATATACCACGACCCAAGGGAGGAGATGATGATAACGTTAATGGTAGGTGACCGGCAATTAGGTACTGTGGAGGCCCGTAACTCAAGCGCCACCAACAGCTCCTTCAAGCCCCTACAGCGACCTGCCACAGCCACTAATGACCTCATCTCCGCCACAGCTCTCCAGTAAATTTTTGCGGCTGGCAGCGGCACACCGAGCTCGGTCCTCCACCAAGCTCTCTCAGCTGGGAAAGTCAACCTTCCGCACCGAGTAGCCTGTCTCGCCGATTGTATGGCTTCGTGATCACGGTGCCTGTAACCTAGGCACCTCTCCAGGGGATGGGAACGCCCGCCCAGATCGCCCAGGTCTTTCACAGTGTCCCCAAGCCTGTGTCCATAATCGAATTCAAGGATGCTCTCGACGCGATTTGTCGCCCCAGATTCCCTGCGGCTGTCTGGGGCCGGACTCGCTGGCCTGGTGCGTCCATGTTATGTCGGTCATAATATTGATTACCCTCATGGCTAACAGGACTCCAGCCCTAGCAATTAGTGGCGGCGTCGACTCTATGGCGCTCGCGTTCCTCTTCTCCAAGTTCCAGAAGATGTTCCCCAATTACACGATTGCCGACTACCCCGCGAGCCGTGCTCATGCTATCGTCATTGACCATGGCTTGCGAGAAGGGAGCGACTTGGAGTCCACGACCGTGCTCCGTCAGCTCAACAGGCTAGGTCTTAATGGCATACGCAACGTTTTGAAGTGGAAGGACGTGCGCGAGGCTGGCATGGAACCCCATGACTTGTCCAATATCGAGAGTGAAGCACGTACAAGACGATACCGGCAGTTGGGAGTCACCTGCCGACAGCGTTTCGTCTCCAGCGTCTTCCTAGCCCACCACCGCGATGACCAGTATGAAACAGGACTGATGCGTCTATTGTCAGGACACGGATATCGGGGCTTGCAGGGAATGAGGGAAGCAAATGACATACCAGAATGCTACGGCATGCACCATATCCACAAA